ACGTGGGCCTCTCACTGTTGTGGCCCCTCCCGTTGCGGAGCACAGGCTCCGGACGCGCAGGCTCAGCGGCCGTGGCTCACGGGCCCAGCCGCTCCGCGGCACGTGGGATCTTCGCGGACCGGGGCACGAACCCGTGTCCCCTGCATCGTTAGGCGGACTCTCAACCACTGCGCCACCAGGGAAACCCCCAGGAGCCTTCTTGAACCCCAAAAGCCGTAGGAGAGACAAAAATCAAGAAGACCCTGACACTGAATTGGAAGAAGAAGCCCTGAGCCCGGATCAGTGGATGGAAACTGTGCTTTGGCATCAGATGAACCTGGATTCGAATGCTGCCTCTCCTGGGTACCTAACTGTGACCCTGGGTACTTTCCCTGACTTCTCTGGGCCTGTTTCCTAATGTGTAAAAAGAGACTGGTGAGATCTTAGAATGGGATTATAAAGCACTAGCTCAGGGTGTCATTTAGAGCAGCTGCTGATCGCAGGGGGACAGGGGCCCTAGAGAGCTCCAAGCAGATGGAAGAGGAGAAAAATTCTTGGGCCCTGGACTGTTTGTCAAGTGTGCTAAGCCCCCCTGAGAAGCTCTGCCCTGCCCATATGTCAGGGCTGTGGAACATTGGCACAGCCATACTTGATTTTTTTTTTTTTTTTTTTTGAGCTGCCCTGAACCTGCTCTAGTCCAGAAAGGGGCTCTTTTCTGTAATATCTGATGAAGGCCCACGAGGAAATCAGCCTGGAGTGAATGTGACCTCCTAGACACAGTGCCCACAGGTCAACTGGGGAAAGGCCCCGTTTTCCTGGGCTATTTCCTCACCGAGGCTGAACTTGACACTTGGAATAATAGGACCCTAACTGCGTCCAGTGGCCAAGAGAGAGTTGGAGACTGAAATACCAGGTATTCAACAGATGAGGTTGGATTTTCTTTGCAGACTTGAAATCAACAGGGCCTTCGGGCAATTAGCCACTCTAATTTACCCTTCCCTGGCCCAAAGCCTGGAATTAGTTTCACTCCCCTGGTGCTTCTGATAGGAGACCTGCTTGCTATTCTTTCCTCTGAAGACTTCAAGACCTGGGAGGGGCTTGAGTTGGGCTGAGTCACTGCCTTGAGGCTCCCTTAGCATCAGCTCCCAGGCTGAGAATTCCCCCTCTGCGACCCCAACCCTGGAGGAGCTAAGGCGCAGCAGGCTGCCCAGGCGAAGCTCTGCTCCAGCCATGGCCCTGTGCCTTGTGCCCTTGCTGGTCCTCCTCTTGGCCGGGTGCGGTGTGATGGGGGAACAGAGGGCGCCGGGCTTCCAAGGCTGCAGACAGACCCTGAATATGTCCGTGCTGGGGGCGCTGCCAGGAGGCGGCTGGGACAACCTGCGCAACGTCGAGCTGGGGCTGGTGCTCAGGAGAGACAATTCGCAGTGCCTCACCACCGAGGACGGCGAGTACCTCATCCCAGACCGCGTGCAGGTGGTCCCGCGGCGGGAGAGTATAGTGGAGACCCGCGCGGAGCTTATCGACCACTGGGTCAACTACAGTGACACCTGAGCCGCCTCCATCAACGCTGAGCTCTCCTTCCTCCCCAACCTCAATGGTAAGTTCTCCGTGGACTGCCAGAACGTCCGGAAGTACAGCCTGGAGTACCAGACGGTCACGACCAGGGTGCAGATCCGCCACAGCATCTACTCTGTGAGGGCCCCGGAGAACCCCAACTTCCAGCCCGACTTTCTGCGACATCTGCTGACCCTCAGCGACCACCTGGAGAACAACCAGACCCGGGAGGCCAAATACCTGGCAGAGATGCTTGTGCTTAGCTACGGCACGCACGTTCTCATCGACGTGGACGCCGGGGCTGCCTTGGTGCAGGAGTACCAGGTGAGGCGGGAGCTGGTGGACAGCGAAGCCCGAGACAAGATCAACATCACGTATGCCGCCTTGGCCTGGTTCTTCCATGCGGTCAACGCTGGGGACGGGGTTTCCTGGAAGGTGCAGAGCCGGCTTCTCCAGAACTACGGGCAGAACCCGGTGGCCTCCAAGATGCACAGCCACGGTGGCGTGCCCTTCTACCAGGACATCACCCTGCAGAAGTGGCAGGAGGGCACCGGCAACCGGCTGTTGGCCATCGGTAGGTCGGGCCCGCCCCTGCCGGTGCTGCTCCAGCTGGAGGCGCTGCCCGAGCTCCCAGAAGCCCGCGTGGCGGCCGCGCGTGCGCCGGGCCATCCACCGCTACTACGCAGTCAACACGCACCCCGGATTCTGGAAGCTTGGGGCTCCCGCCTTCGACCCCCAGGCCAATGTGGACGATGGTTCTTGCGGAGGCGCTGCCGCGCCAACTTCAGCTTCGGCGGTGTCTTCCAGGAATGCGAGGCCGTTTCCGGGCGGCATGCCGATCACCTCTGCCGGGCCTATCACATCCCGAACCCGCTCACCGGCAGCCTCTTGCCCGGCCAACTACACGGCCAGCTCCCGGAGCGGCGGGCTGAAGACGTGGAGCGAGGCCGGTCCTGAGTGCCGGCAGCACTGCCGAAGGTGCTGGCTCTTCTTCCGATGCTGCTCGACAGCGTGCGCCACCCATGAGCATCGGAATGCCGTGCGCCTGGCTGCCTCCTGGTGCGCGCCCTCGGGGGCCTCCCTGCCCGCCACTGCGGGCCTCATCTTTGGAGGCCTGTATAGCCCTGGCAACCCAAACCCGCTCACTGGGTCCCAGGCTTGCCCCTCCCACTTCTGCCCACTGACACTCTTTGGCGACCTCAAGGTCTGTGTCAGTAGCGACTCAGAGCTGGGTACAGCCCAGGCAGTCCCCTTTGGGGGTTTCTTCAGCTGCCAGGCGGGCAACCCCTTGGCTGGCCTTGTGAAGGGCCAGAGCCCTGGGCTCATGAAGGAGGTGTTCTACCAGGACAGCCTCACGGATTTCCCTATGAAATGCCCAGCAGGATACAGCCAACACCAGGCTTACCTCAGCCATGACTGCCAAAGCCTCTACTGCCTCAGGGCTGGGGCCCTCTTGGACCAGCAGCAGGCAGCTGTTCGGATGCCCCCATTTATTCCCCGACCCCGCCTTGCTCAACAGAAGCAGCACCCACAGGCTCTCTGTCCTGGTTGACTCCAGTGGTCAGCGGGTCTGGCTGAGGCTGCAAGGCTCTGACCACTGGCAGCAGACCAATATTAATGACCCATCCTTGTCAGCCAAGCTCTTGAGCCAGGCTGGCTTGGGACCCAGCGTTGGGGCCATTGTTGGCTCCTGGGTGGGTGCCACGGTGGCCTTGGTGGCTCTTCCTCTGGGGGTAAGCTGTGGCTTCGGGTTCTATAAGAAAGGGGGTTACAGGAGACTGCAGGAAGGCGTCCTGTCAGAGGAACAGAGGGCCTATGGGGCCACAGAAACCACTGAGAGCCCAGCTCAGTCTGAATGCATACAGAATGACAAGAATTCTGTCTAGACTTTTAACAAAACAGGACTGCTGCATCATTGCTAGTCAGAGCTCTAGCCCCTTCTGTTTCTTCTACTGCCTAGGTGAAAAGATGTAAGATACCTAATCATAGAACTGGCCCCACTTCCTGAAGGTGCCAGGACTAACCTGTACTTGCTCAAGCCCGCCTCCAAATCACCTATAGCCCAGGCTCAAGTCCTGTAGCAATCTCTCCCTAACGCCCTCTTTCTGAGAGGTGCCCCATTCTCCTTGGTGTGCTCCCATGTTGGGCGCCTCCCTTGTTGCAAGGAGCCAATAAACCCAACTTTGTTCAAATACAGGTCTGTTCCTGGTGTTCTCTGCTCGGGGGGTGGGCGAACAGGGGAGATAGAATCAGCATTGAGCCCAGGACATATTATGTAGCTTTGAAGTTAGAATTTTTTTTTTTTTGTAACTGTTATAAAATTCATTCTGTCCATTTGTTTTCCCAGAATCATTGCCTTGAACCCAAAAAGTTTCCTCTTGGGCTTGGTTTAACTCAGAGGGTCTTTTTGGTTTTTGTTTTCCAAATAGGACCTGACCTACTTGTGGATGATGAAATGAATTAAGTTGTAATCAGCACATTTTTTTTAATGACAGAAAACAGTACATTGCATGAAACAGCTATAATAATTATTTTGTGAAATAGGTTAATCACATAAAATTGCCCATATCCAATCTTTTTTTTTTTTTTTTTTTTTGGCCACGTCACACAGCTTGCGGGATCTTAGTTCCCCAACCAGGGATTGAACCCAGGCCCTCAGCAGTGAAAGCGCAGAATTGTAACCACTAACCACTGGAGTGCCAGGGAATTCCCTCCAATCATTTTTGATTCACCAAAAAATGTCAGTTTTCTATGGTTTATATGGGATCACAGTTTTATATGGGATCACAATGTAAGATGTGATACAGACTATCAAGATATGATCACAGTCAAAACACTGGAAAGTCAAGGGAAAACTCTTCCACTCTTCCATTTCATTCTATGTTCCATGAAACTTAGCTTTGGAAAACTAGAGTCCTCACCCCCAGTGGAAGAGTTTTCCCTTTGGAGGTCCTGTTTCTCTCAAGTACACCAGAGTACATTTTCATTCTTTAACCCAAGACTGCAGTCTCTTGGGACCAGTGTTCAGTTTTGCAGTGTTCCTAGAACACAAGCCTCATCGCAATTTAAGCCCAGAGTGTGGGTCAGTAGTTGTCACAAGGACAAACAGGGTGTCACATTAAACCCTAACCTTGGAACCACAGGGCATGCAGGACCTAGCCCAAATGGGCCCCTCATGTGTGAATTTTAGAGCCAATTCCAAAGGTACGTGGAGAGACCCTAGGGAGCCAGCAAGTGTGGCCTCACAGGGTTGACAAGACCCCGTTTCCATGACCTGAGTGACCTAAGTGAGTCATTTTTCTTCTTGGTGTTTCATCTACTCTGGCTACAAATTGGAATATATCAGGATATTGATGTGATAGTGCAAACTCTGAGTCCTGAGAGGAAGAGGCAGTTGAAATCCAAATAACTCTAGATGTTTGAGATCATTTCTCCTACTGGTCTGATACGGGCACATTGGAGCCGTCTGTGAGCTAAGAACTGACCGACTAGTGGCTCTCCTGAGCCTTCTCCAGACTTGTGGTCACTACCATTTGTAGAGACTTTTTCTGTTTTTCGCAGAACTTAAGTAGGTAAGTAGTTCTTATGCTATGGATGAGGAAATTGAGGCTTAGAGAGGTTGACTTGCCCACAGTCATGTGACAAATAATAAGAATAATAATAGCTAGTGCCTACTACAGATTTAGAATTCATTCTTTGCAAAGATTATTTCATTTAATTCTTTGCTGAGCACAGTAGTAAAGCTGTGGACTTGGTCTGGGTCAAATATGGGCCTCTGGAAATCCCTTGTGCCTCAGCTTGGTCCTCTATAAAATGGAGTTAGCATGTTAAATTCCTAGGTTACTTGAGAAGATTAAATGAGCTAATGGATGCAAAGCACCTTGGAACAGCCTGGCCTTTCTAAATTTGAAATTGATGACACTAACACTTTGGGATCTTATTTGCCACTGCTTTAAGAGTGGGATACCAGAATCAAATCTGACAAACTGGGCTCAAGTCCCAGCACAGCTGCTAACTAGCTCTGTGATTACAAGAAAATTGTCTCACCTCTCTGAGAACTAATCTCATCTATAAAATGGGGATAATCATAAGACTGATGTCATAAATTGTTGCAAGGATTAAATGAGACAATGCAAAGAAATCCCTTGGTACAGTGCCTCACATCTGGCATGTCACAGGGAGCTATCACAATGTGCGGACTGGGTACACAAAGTTGTATGATTGGGGCTCACAGTTGAGTGGGTAAGACACCCACAAAACATAAATTACCCATTGTAAAAATGTCATAGAGCTTCAAAGAAAGCATTATGGGAAAATGCATGAGGGTCGCAAATTCTAACTGGGAGGGTGCTGATAATGTTTCTGGCATGGGACGGGACTCTTGTCTCAGCCAGGCCCATTTTCAGATTTGCTCAATTCTGCTGGCCCAGGAGGATCCTTTCAACAGAAACCGAATGCCCATTTCTGATGGTCTCAGTTCACTTCCTGGAATAGCCCTCCAGGCTCTAAAAACTGAGCTCTCTGACTGATACGAGCAAGATGGGGATCAGGGCATAATAAAAGATTTTGATGTGGAATAAAGAAGAAAAGGGGCAAAATGAACCATCCTATAATAGGGTGGCTATGTAAGTGATCATCGAAATCTGGACCCTGTTGAGACCAAAAGGAGGCACTATAAATAATTATATAGGACATGTCAATCAAAAGATAAGTCGCTCCACTTTTATAGGTGACTGTTTGCCATTGGGCCCAGGCCCACTTTATCACCCTGATCTCCAGCTAGTCTCTCCCCATGATACATATTCCCTGTGCTGATTCCCACATCATGTCAATTCCTGGCTGATGAAATCTTTTTTTTTTTTTTTTTTTGCGGTAGGCGGGCCTCACTGTAGCGGCCTCTCCCGTTGCAGAGCACAGGCTCTGGACGCGCAGGCTCAGTGGCCATGGCTCATGGGCCCAGCCTGGGATCTTCCCCGACCCGGGAATGAACCTGCGTCCCCTGCATCGGCAGGCGGACTCTCAACCACTGCACCACCAGGGAAGCTCCTGGCTGATGAAATCTTGCTCATCAGTCAAGACTGGGTTCAAAGGTCACCTCCCTGAGAATACACAAGAATACATTTCTTTTCGCCCCCTCTCCCCCTACCCTCACATACTCCTTCAATTTCCCAGGAAGAATTTGTCTCTTACTCCTCCTAACCTCTTTAGCAGCATGTAACTACGAGCCTGTCACTTTGCATGAGTTCTCCTTCCAACCCGCTCACGAGCTCTTTGAGTGGGAGAAAAGGAAGGTGTTGTGTTCATTGCAGTTATTTCCAGAGCGCAGCATCAGGCAGAACACCTGGTAGCTGCTCTACAAGTTTGCTGAATGAAAGAAAACCAGAAGAGATCTTGGGAGGCCCCAGGTGATTAGACTCAGCTATCAAATCCTTTTAGTTTATCTGCCCTTCTGGGATTCTTAGCTGTATTATTTCATGATTGAACCAGTTTTTTTGTTGTTTTTCGTCTTGGGTTTTTTTGGGTTTTGGTTTTTTTCGGCTGCACCGCACAGCTTATGGGATTTTAGTTCCCCTGGGATCGAACCCGGGTCCTCGGCAATGAGATCGCAGAGTTCTAACCACTGGACCGCCAGGGAATTCTCATGAATAAACCAGTTTTAAGCCTCATTTTGCCCAGTCTAAGTGCTTGAATAAATACAAAGATAAATAAAACTCAGTTTTCACTGTCTCAAATATTCTAGGCAAGTAGACAAAAAGTAAAAATAAAAAGGACGGGAGAGGGAGAGGTGGTGGCATGCGGTAACCACCGAATCTCCAAGTTCCTTTTAGAGCTCTGAGTAACAGGGTGGACAGCCTGCTGAAATTCCATCCCAGCTGATGATAAAATGGGGACTGATGGACAACTTGCTGTCACGGAGCTGCTCCTTGGATATCACACAATGGCCCCTCCTGGAACAGGCTTCTCTTGAGCAACTGGGTTGTTGCGATCTTACAGACACTGCAAGTCATACAAAACAAAGAGACCTTTCTCCTTATTTTGACTTCCAGAGAGCCTAGAGCCAAATTTTGGCCCCTTCTTCAACATTCTTGTTGCTAAACTCAACCTTAGTCCCAATTTTTCTGTACTTATATTCCCTCTTGATTAACTCATTTTTCAAAATTTTGTAAGATATGCATTTACATAAAACATCGTGTATTATTTTTAAAAACTAAAGAAATGGATAACAGAACTGAGCAGTTGTGGAGGAAGATTCACGAGGGTGAACCTGGGAAACGTCTGAGCCCCAGTTTCCAAGCCCTCTCCTTATCCCAGTCGCAGTTTCACTACCTGTAGCTTTAGCCTTGGTCCAAATCATCCTGTGGTGATTGTTCTCTGTACTACACAGAGAGGGACTGTTGTAAAGCAGATCGACTCTGGTTATCTCAAGGAGTTCCTGAAAATTTGACAATGAAAATGAATTTTAAATTTAATTTTAAAACTATGTTGTTGTTTTTAAAACAGGTTGGAAGGGGACTTCCTAGGGGTCCAGTGGTTAAGACTCCGTGCTTCCAC